CAACTATCAGCATAGGTTCTGAAAACGACGAAATTATGTAAAAATTAATGGTGAAAAAAAGACAGTTCGGTTCAGTTTTCGGGCATAGAGAAAAAATAGAAATTGGTTCAGTTAAGTAAAAACAAAAATAGAACCGAACCAAAGTAAATCGGTTAGGTTCTGAATCCAACTGAAGCAGTTTTTTTTTTTTAATATGAATAGCATGCCTCTTTCATTCCATATTAATTTCAAGAACCGATCAATTTAAAATATATATATATATATTCCACACGGATCAATTAGCCAAACAATGGGTTGTTCAGAAACCCACATTCCTAAGATTTCTTCACCAATATTATAACCATTTAGACATTTTCTCAAAATCAAAACAAGATCTTCCAAAATTTTCATGTTAAAACCTAAAGATGTGAGATCCAGACGTTGAAAACCATGAAAAAAAGAACAGAACATTATGAAATCACATAACCCATCTAGATTTCAATAATCAACTTCATATTCATTAATTGTTCCAAAAAAAGAAACCCACAAATTTAAACCACTGAAATCATCTAACCCATCTAGATTTTCAACACCCATTTCATGAACTGAAAAGCAAATACAAATCTACCTCCATGGAACAAACTAAGAGAAGAAAAGAAAAAGATAGATTAATAAACCAAAACGGAAGAAAGGAAAATCACATAGCTTCATTAGATGCTTTTCACAAACTCACACTAAGAGAAGATTTAAGAGAGAATGGTGAAACCCATAAAGCCTTTTAGGCTTTAGATGTGCGACACACATAACGAGGAAACCCTAAATCCCAAATGGAGAGGGTCACCGTCTCTGGTGGAGAGCATCTCGACGCTGGTGGAAGACTGTGGGTCTGTCATTTGGTTGAGCCATGCGTGAGATTGAAAAGTCTGAGGAGGGGGCCGCACTAAAAGTAAAGAAGAAAGAGTGTGCAACCCTAGCGGTCGGTTAAAACCAAAAAGGACAAAAATATTCGGTTCGGTTACTTTCAATTTCGGTTTCTAATTTTATTAAAATCGAACCGAACCGACTCTTAGCGGTTCTGTTCGAGTCAGTTTACTTTATTTCACCCCTAGTAAAAATGATAAATTTGATGTACCTTGATCTATTTCAAATTAGGTGTATCAAGTATACAATTATATCCTTCATATAAATAGTATATTAGTTATAACTGATATATCTTTGATGTACTTGATAGTATATATAATTATTTATAACTCATTTAGTTTTAAGTAAATCAATTATAACTAAATATACCTATTATGTAGTACATCAAAATATACCAGATATGTGACGCCCCCAAATTTCACTACGAACGAGATGACGTTACTATATTACCTATTCACCCCCCCTCCCATTAAAGGTAACGTAACGTGTAATGCCCTCGAAAATACATCCTCAAATATTGAGATAATGCGATCATCCCCTGTCCTTTCCCCCTTCAACCCAAAGACGAGAAACAGTTACTTTAAAGATAATCAGGGACTCATAACACAACCAATTCCTAAAAGTTCGTGCCCGCCTTAGTGGCTAGCAATCCAATTAAAAGAAAACAATCATTTGGTCCAGTAATCCAAAGTCCATCAGTGATTCAAATAATAACAATAACCGCAAAACATTAGTTCGCCTATGAAGAATGAATAAAGAAAAAGAAAACGTTCCGTGAGTCAACCCAATGTCTAGTACACCCCTAACTATAAGTTTCTAATGCTACTCGCAATGAACGACAGTTTCCGCCATCCTAACCAACACAACTAGTGATCCATCCTCGGTCAAGCCTCCTCCACGTCATCACCACGGTCGGGGGCCCTGTTCCCACCTGAAACAATTAAGGTAGGGGGGTGAGTATATAAAATACTCCGTAAGTAGCCCTCCCTAACTAATCACAACAGCATGCTCGTAATCACAGCAACATCAAACACAATAGCAAAAACAAACAACCAGGCAACAAGAGATAATAACAGTAGATTAACATTCTCATATAAGCATCCAAACACCAGGACTCCCAAGACTTCGACTACACGACCCTCTAGCCTTTGACCCACTCGAGCTAAAATTCGCTCTACCCTCTGCGTTAGTACTCCAAGTCTAACTCTTCGAGGCGTATCGACCCTTGACATTTATCCCCAAGATACCGACCTCCCTCTATAAAAGCTTGGCATTCGACCTTGCCATTTATTCCCAAGGCCTTGAACTGTGCACCAGTCCTTGACATTTATCCCCAAGGTACCGATGACTACTCGGCGTATTGGTTCTTGACATTTATCCCCAAGACCCCAATACTCATCTATAGAAACTTGATGTTCGGCCTTGTCATTTATCCCCAAGGCACCGATGACTACAGGCGTATTGGTCCTTGACGCTTATCCTCAAGATCCCAATACTCCTTTATAGAAAACTTGGTGTCCGGCCTTGTCATTTATCCCCAAGGCCTTCTACCCCCGGAGCCTCGACATCCAGTAGGGACTTAATCGCCTCGTCCATTGCC